AATTCTCACACTAAGAATGACTAAGAATCCAAATCAAGTACCCAAAAGTTAGGAAATGCCATCTCTAGCATTGACAGTGCAGACTGAACTCACATATGTTCTATGTATTATTCATAGTTTCATGACTGACTTGTCAGGTTTTTTTCTCCTCCCATGGGACTACACAGCTTTCCATCTACTAAAAAAGAGACTGAAAAAAACATTATATCCTAGCTCAGGCAAGGGCATGCATTTTCTGGGTTTCCAAGCATACAGCTGCCCAGAACAGGTCTCCTCTGTGGTCGACCTCACAGCCAAGGGTCATCAGGCTTCACAGCACCCTGCTAAATGAGCCATCAGGGCAACAGGACCAGATCAGGCTTCCTGTGGGAGCCCCAGGCTTGCTGCATGAAAATCCCACTGAAACAGAGATGTTTCCCTCCGTGACTGTCATTTCCCTGGCCTGGAATTTTTTGACAACATTTGGTATTTTGGTATCCCCACCTACCTCTAGGTCAGAATGACTGAAAAGAGCCCAAGCCTATAACAAAATCATTTAGAGTAGAACATAAAGGAACAACTAAAAGAGCTTGAATACGTGGACACTAATGTTCCTGCTGCTTCCATCACTAGCTAGCTCAGGTACTGACAGCTCAGGAGACTCAGCAACACAGATCGCAGTGCAAAAGCCTAAACTCACAAAAAACCCTGCACACTTGGATTCTGTAATTGTATTGCGAATAAATGAACCACATGGTTTCAAGCTAACTTGGTGCCATCTGTATGAACGGCAACCACCTCTTGATTAAAATGCTGTATTAGAAGAACTGTCTTGCCTATAAAACAAAGCTGTGAAAACTCTCCAAAGATGAATTTTAGAAGACCTATTACAGGAGATATTTAATGTACACTTGACAAAATACAGAAAACAATTTTGTACAACCCGTGGTATGAGCTAATAGGCCTATAATTCAGTGTTTGCTTTCTGTTAATTCAAAGGGTTTTTTTCCCAGCTGGGTAGCAAGTCTTTACATATTTATTTTCCTCGGTGCTTAGGGCTGATAGAAATTTGAATGTGAACAGTCTGCCAAAGTGTTCTTCACCTCCCAAGACACTCCTAAGCTCTATCAGTCATAACAACAATTTAGCTTTGATGACTAAACACTGTTTATGTCAAAGGTTCAATGAGAACAGACTTCTTCATACAGGGAATTAAGTTTATTATTTTTGTCAGAATGTTTCTAAATTTGAACTATATGGTTATGCACAAGAATGTGAACTATAATGAAAAATAATGTAAAATTAACAAGACTTCGAAGAACTCCTTAATAGAGAATTTTGACTTAGGATTCTGTGTCAGCTCAAAAAGCTGATCATGTCAACAGGAAAAATAAATAAGGTGAACTTCCAAGGTCAAAGTGGGATATGGATTACTCATCTTCCAACTTAACTGTCCTCTTCCTCTCCTCTCAGGTGGGAAAGAAATTCTTCCTGAAGCACTGCATTAGAAAAACTGATATTGTTCAAAGACTTGATGAAATAATTCGGTACTCTGAGAACAGGCGGTCACTGAGAGTTAGCCCAGGTCCCCCAGCCATAGCCCAGATGAACAGGTTCTCAGGGGACAACTTTTTTCTGCAACATACACCTTCCTTCAGCAGCCCATTTTGAGCCTCCCTCCAAATGGAGCTCTTGCTTTGTCGCTCTCCCAACCCTAAACCTATGTGTTGGTGGAGAATTAGCCCTAAATACCACAGATATTACAGTGGATGAGACATAAGACCAAAATATCGTAGCCATAACTCAGATAAATATGTCCTCACATCAGCTGAAGCTCAGCACAAGATTGCAGCCACGGCCCAGGTGGAAAAGATCTCAGGAGAAAATCCTTCTGACACCTCACTCTTCCCTTTGGCAGACCCTTTCCAGACCACTGAACTGGAGTTCCCACTCTTTCTCTTGTAACCCTTACCCCAAACCTAGGTGTCAGCCAAGCCCTAGCCCAACATCCTCAGCCGTAGCCCAGGTGAACATGTCCTCAGAGGACAATTCTCTTTGCTCCTTGCCCCTTCCTTTGGCAGCCCCTTTCCAATCCCAGTCCAAGCGGAGCTCTAGACTTACTCTCTTCTCCCAACTCTAAACAAAACCAAACCCCTAACTGTAAACGTGGGCTGAGACTTAGCCCAAGACCCCTAACCATCGTTCAGATGAAATCAGAGAATTTTCTCAGAGGGTAATTCTTTTTGCAGTCCCTTTCCTGCTCCACTCCAAATGCAGATCCAGATGTTGTCTGTTCTCTGCCCCTAAGCCGAACTGTAGCTCCAGCTCTAACACCTGATGTGAACAGAGACTAGCCCAAGACCTCAAGCCATTGCCATGACGATCAAGTTCTCTAAAGAGGATTCCTTCAGCAACCCTTTCTCGGATTGACTCCAAGCGGAACTCTATGCTTCGCCTCATTAAAACTAACTTAGTCTGAGTGCAAAGGATGGGTTGAGCCTTAGCTCCAGACCCTGAGCTAGCACCCAGATGAAAAAGATCTCAGGGAAGAATTATTTTTGCAGCTTACCCCTTAGTCTGCCCACTCCTTTGCTGCACCACACCAGCTGGTGTTCCAGGCTTTGTTTCTCTAAGTAATCCAAACCTCAGCCTCCCCCAACACGCCCAGCCACAGTCTGGATCGAAACATCTTGGGGATGAACTCCTTTCATGTCCTACCCCTCTTTGGCTGCCCTTTGCAGCTCCACTCCAAGTGCATCTCTAGGCGTGATGACTCTCCTGCTCCTCATGCAATCCTTAACTCTAACCCACATCCCCAGCACAGGCTGAGCCTTAGCACAAGGCACCCAGCCATGACCCAGACGAGTAATTTCTCAAGGAAAACTCTGTCTGAAGACACAGTTCTCACACCTTTCCTGGCTACTTCTTAACATTGCCAAGGATGGCGACTGTTGGATCAGGGACTTTTTATGGCAGTTCCCTCCTTCAGGACAAATAATGACTTAGCATTTTCCATGAATTCTGTACTGAGTTCACCTTAAAGCAATTTGGAGTCATGATCTATGTGAGACTGTATAATAGCCTATTCTTCAAAATTTTCAACTTCCTGACACAAGAGAAAACTTGAATGTGTTTTGTTTGGATTCTGCTTACTTTATTTAAATACTGAGAGGCTTAATTTGCTTCTGCTGCATATGTCTGACTTCTAGTCTAAAGAGTATCTACAGCTGCAAGACACATGGCTTCCATATTGTTTGAGATAATCATAAAAACTGCAGGGAACAGGTATTTTGAGATCCATGAAGTAACAGCTCCTTTTTCCTCATGCCAAGCCAAATGGCAGGTGCTGAGTTTTACATATGGTTGTGGAAAGGTATTATACAGGGCATGAATAATAGCAGTTGTGGTAAAACAAGGAATGTTTGCAGGTACAAGAGACATTACATTAAAAAAAATAAATTAAGCTTTGTCTTCACTATTTTTGGGTTTGTCATTATTTCCTCTTCTGTAATGTGTCATTCAACCTTCTGCTGTGATCCTTCGGAGAATGTAATGAGAAAGATGTTTTATATTCAGCACTGCCAGAAAGAGTCCTTAGGGTAGCTTTGGTCATATCTATTACGACTTTTGAAGATTAATATTAAACTAGTATTAGTATCGAAATTAGTATGAAATAGAATGTTTGCTTTATTTGATGAGTACTGTCAGAGTAGTATGTATGTTCCCACCATTTTTAACGAGCCACACAAACTTTCTTCAAAATGTTTCAATTTGCTACAAATTGTATGCCTATTTATTGCTGTACCTCATTAGTTCAGAATAAGAAGATATTTATTAGCTCCAGATTAACTTGCTTCAGCAGCCGAATCAAGCCGAAAGTGGCTATTTTCAAGCGAGGATCTGCTCCCTTTTTTTCCCCCCCCAGCTAACTCTGTTTCCTGAAACTCCTCGGCTGTTCACACCGGTGCCACTCGGTGGTGCCACCGCGCTGCATTTACAGAGCTCCAAAGAAAATATGTTTTCGCTCGAGATAAACTTTCTCCACCAGCCGAATCAAGCCGAAAGTGGCTATTTTCAAGCGAGGATCTGCTCCCTTTTTTTCCCCCCCCAGCTAACTCTGTTTCCTGAAACTCCTCGGCTGTTCACACCGGTGCCACTCGGTGGTGCCACCGCGCTGCATTTACAGAGCTCCGGCGGGTCCTAAAGTCAAGCAATCACTCCTATTGTGGAACTCGGCCCCACCACGTTCTTGCAGTGTTTTCTTTAAAAACGAACAGTATCTACTGTTCTGTGGTCTGGGTTTTAAAAATTAGGCATATTTTTTCAGATAATGTATTTTGAACTAAAACTATGTGACCGCTGTTCCATCACCTCTACCTACGTAGGGCAACATCTTAAAGAAACTACTCACAGAATAATTGGACATGCTAAGGTGGCTGAGTTGTGCAACAACCAGTACACTGATAGTTAGTATCTTCCAATAAATGTGCATGGTCTACACTAAAGCATAAAAGGCCTATCAAACAATAAAAGTATTATGACTTTGAATTAAAAAAGTTAGTCTTCTAAGAGTATGTAAATGTCTAGCAGTAAAATGCTCTGCCTG